GCTAGTGTCAGACCCATATAATTATCCATTTTGAGCAATATTAATGTAGACAATGTGGGTGGTGTCTTTCCAAATTCATATATAATATTGACAATTGTACCTATTGTGCTATTTACCAATCTATATTTGGTCCAAATATTAGAAGTAAGCATTACACAGGCTCCAATTGATAAAAATATAACTGGTTCAAGATTATTCATAATGTCAGAAGATGATTTTCTAGCATCTGAGCCAGTATGTATAGCTTTTATCTTGATGACTAGCAAATTGAGCTGTCTTAGTTTTGTCATGTTATATTCGTGAACTTTTTCCCATATAGTAAATAATCAGATTGCATTTTTGAAAGTGACTTTTTTAAATAAAGACATTAATGAATAAACTCTGTTATTAAGGAATTGCCAATCATTTTCTGATGATTGTTCATCTCGTAAACATAAAAAGAGATTACGAAATATGTGCTGTTCTTCAGAGTCACCTGTTTGTCGTTCTATTATTTCCAATTTAATATTTTATTAAATTGAGCATATATCATGCGACCTGTTTCTGAAAGAGGTCATTTGGTCGAGGATCCAAAGCGTACATAGAAAGATCTAAAACTGGTGTTAACTGGCCAAAGTTCCCAAAAATAATACTGAACAATCTCCAAATAAAACATTTTGGTTTTGCAGAAAAGCCTGATATAAACATTGGTCAATTATTGCTAAAAGTCTATAGCCAATCATACTTTTTTCATCAAAAATAATAATTTTAACACCTTTTAATTTTTGTTGAAACTTTTTTAGAGATTCAGGTTTAAGTTCTAAATCTTTAAGATTATTAGATAATAATAGTGCTAAATGAATTGTACATCCATTTATGTTAAATGCTGCAACACCTGTTGGTGCGATAATTAATATAGGTAGTTCTTCCTTTAAATCAATTTTATATTCCCACGCAATTTTAAATATAGATTACGAATAGCTTTAATAATATAAAACTTGCCAATACCAGCTGTGCTCATAATAATAGTAAGTAAAGACTCAATTGATTGGTTTGTTGAATTTGCTAAATTTGTAGAATAATATAAAGTTATATAATTATAAATTTGCTTTTGTTTTTCATTTAAGCTAATAGGATCAATAAAAGTCTCATCATTATTGTGACATGTATTTTCAATTTGATGACGTTTAGCTTGTTCTAAAAATGATTCTACCTTACTAAGATTTGAAAATTGCTCATACAATCCTGACCACATATGGTTAATATCTATAAACCGTTCACCAAGATTATCAGTTGTAGCTTGTAAATGTTTTGTAGTTATTTGCATTCACGGTTCTTGAAGTATTGTATTATCTTCTTCAAGTTCTTTATATTCTTCACTACTGCTTTTCCAATCTTCCTTATTGTCTATTGGCTTACCAAGTAAGTTATTTCTATTAAGTTCAATTTGAGCAGAAAATTGATTATATAGTTCAATCCAATCGATATTAGTGCTTTCATAAAAAAAATCATCTATACTTTGGTGAGGAATATAAAGAAGGACCTTTAATCTACAGTAATCCTTCCATGCTGGCCCAAAATGAACTGATGATGGATGAGGCCAAATTCGAATAATGCAGTGCTTTTTGCATGAAGTCTATTTATATGTATGTGCCCTATATACATATTTTTGGTTTAACTTAAATAATAAATATTCATTAAAAATAGAAAGATGCTCCCAATAAATTTGTAAATAAGATTGTCCAGTTCTAATCAATATATTATTATTATTTTGTATATTATTATCTTGAGTTAACTCACGTAATGTGCCGTCTTCATTAAGGTTAAGAGTAAAAAATATGCAAGATAATACAACTAATAGTAGCTTAAGAAGAAGATGCAATGTTTTTTGAAAAGAAAAGTCTCATTCAGTTACTGCATGTAATAAAAGTTTTTGGATTGATTTTAAAGCTAGTTCATCAGATTTTGCATTGTCAAGATAATTAGAAAATATTTTATTAAATGAATCTGACCATGATTTTGATTTGCTAGCATATATATAAAAGTAAAGCATGAAGAAAAAGGATTGGCTTAATGTCAACATTGGCTCTCTAGCCTTGAAGCAAAATCTGACAAAGTGAATTAACTAACGGATTATTGCAACACAGTAATAGTTCTGATTGGTTATTTTTATCAGGTTGAATAACAGTAATATCACATAACTCCTTCAGATAGCCAAACTGATATTCTTTTAAATTCGTATTTTTATTTAGTCTAAGACATAAAGATAAGCATTTTGTATACCTTTGAACTTTATTAACCAATTGATAATAATCATTAAAATCATCTGTTAATTTTTCTAATGGTTTTTGACAGGTGTGTTGCTCAAAAACATACTTGCTATATCTGGATTAATGGCCGTGACAATCGAATCAATATATGTAATCAAATTTTTCATTGAATATTCATCTTGCTGTATAACCTTCCAATCAAAAGCTGGTGCATTAGAAACCTTTCTTATACCATACATATATGTACTTCCCCGGTGTTGCCACGTATACCGATACCAATAATCGTTAAGACCCCACTTAGATATTAACACATGTTCTAAAAATAGTTTAAACCAATGCATAAAATACTATGTTGCATATAGGAATTTTCATTTAAATTGTGATACCTTATTTGGGCAGCTTGTATTGAACTGGTATTAGTGTTAGTATTTGGCATAAAATGGTGAAGATCAGGCCAATGTAAATTGGCAGCCCTAAATATAAAAAAAATTAATCCATCTGCGTTAATTTGTTTTATCATATCAATAAGCTCATTATGCATTTTTTTCCAATAAGGCTGTATTCTTCGAAGAGTATTATTATATCGAATGATATAGTTTGCTATGAATTATTAGTGTCAAGCAATTCCTGAACATCTTTCACTGTAAGATATACATCTTCTAAATTTTGACATATATATATTATACACTTTTCAAGCACTCTCCACCTCATTAATGAATTTAATGCAAAATAATAAAATCTTTTATGCCATGCAAATTGATCATCATAGTATTTTATTAGATGTTCAAAATATTTAGCAGGATATACTTGCTGATATTGTCTAGTACTATGTAAATCTGCTTTGCCTTTAGAAAATAAAGTAGAGAATGCTTTACATATATAACCAATCTCTTCAAACTCATTATTTGAAGTATCTTTAATAGTAGACCAATTAACTATGTCTGCATTTGCAAGTTGACTAAGTTCAGTATATGTAGCTACTTCTTTGGTTTTTTTAAAAATAGAATTAGGTATAAAGCTATATTTAATATGATCTTTGGAAGTATTAGAAATGTCATCTGAATTCTGATTATTATTTGAAAAAGCTGTATCTTCAATGATTAAATCATTATCTATAGTATATAATTAGTTAAATATAGATCCATCTTCTGAAAGAGTTTGCAATATACTTTGATCAATTTCAATATTGGAATAAAAAGGATTATTATTTTTGAGATATTTTGACCAGATTAAAATATTTGACCATTTAACTTTAAAATCTTTAAATGAAGTAAGATCTTTTTCAGGTTTTCGAATAATCAACATAGCAATTGTGGTTGAGTTTCGAGGTAATTTTGTAATAAACTCTTGAATATCTTGGAAAAGTTAATTACATTTCCTTGAAATCTAAGCTGCCTGCCTTGAAGCTTGTAAACAGTAAATATATGAAGAATCTGTGCAATAAGCATTTCTTCAACTTGACTAAGTTGAGAAAGTTCACTGGGAAATTCTCCTATAAAAATTTTTATTATTGTTATTTTTTTTTATATAATTTATATAAGAGACAAATATGAAAATATTTATATATATATATTTTTTTTTACATATCAGGGTCCATATCATTCTCACTTGAAAACCTTTTTGGTGTTGATTTCTCCTGATTACATCTACTGCATAATCCCATCTTATGTACTAATACAATCATAGGAAAGCTCTCTTTACAAATAGGGCAAAAATTAAATTTAAGTACAGAAATTGCATTGCAAAATTTCTTTAGAAGGTTATGATCGTCAGTAGAAAGCTGCATGCAAGTGGTAATGGTAAAATATTTTGGTTTTCTAAAAAAATGTTAGTTAATACAAATGGTCATGTATTAGAATTTGATATTACATTCATCACTTGGATTTGTACTGTATATTACCGAATAGAAGCTACCAAAAAATTTTCGATTTGCTCAGACTAAATTGTGGGAGTAGCTTTTATTCGGGTCCAAAATTAAAATCTAACCAAAATCATATGATAGATTGGTGCCAATCAAATAATAAGAAATATAGTGATTTAATCGGTTAACTGATTGTATATATAAGACATTTCATATTTATATGGATCTTCCTTATATTCTAAGTTTTATTTTTACATAAAATGAACAATGATATAAATGCTTATTTTCATGCCTTTTTAAAATCATCTTTGGTGCAGAATTATATTGTACCAATATTATTGAGCGAACCAAACAAATATTTACATAATACAAAACTGATAGGAATATGACTTTTAGAGAATAAACTCTGTCTTTTTAAAATTATTTTTTCAAAGCCGTTATTCAAGTCAGTTTCTTAAGAAAATATTACTTGAAGCAGAATTATTGTACTGATATTATGGGTCAAGCATTATTTATTTTAAATGCTGTTATTAGTTATAAAGATTATCCTGGCATGTACAATAGACAACATTCAAGCAAAGAAAACAAAAAAAAAAAAAAGAAAAAAAAAAGAAAAAAAAGAAAAAAAAAAAGAAAAAGATGACTTTTATTCAATTTTTTTTGTCTTGTTTTTTTTGTCTTTGTGGAACTGTTCTAAGTAGGAGATGTTTGTGAAATGACAACATTGGGCACTATTATCAATATGGAATTGAAGTTGGGAACTGTTAAAAAAATAAAAGTTATGATTAAATATCATACCAATGCTTGCCTTCTTCAGAAAAACTTGGCCTGATACGTATAAATAAAGTGGTTAATAACCAAGAAAAAAAATTTGATCAACTTTTTTTAAAATGTCTCAGGAAATTATCAAGAAGGGTTGTCAGTCTTATACCTTTAAAGAGAAAGCCAATGTCGTTCAGTATGCTCTTCATGAAAGCAATCTTAGGTCCACTACCAAGTTTGGTTTAGATAAGACTCAAGTTGGTCTTTGGGTAATGAAATTAAAGGATAAACTTAATGAGATTGATCATAGCAAATCTTGTCATCTTGAAGGTAGTGGTAGAGAAAGGTTTTTTCCTGATAAAGAAGCACAGCTTTATAGGTGGATGTCTGAAATGAGTAATGCAGCTCTTGCTATAACATACAATAGTCTCAAGTTTGAAATGTTAAGAATCTTCACTGAAGTGGCATCAAAAAGTAATGATCTCAAAAAAAACAACTTGCAAGTAACTTCAAGACATCCTTAATGTAGTTAAACATTTTTTAAAGTATCATAATCTTGCCTTATGCCACAAAATGAAAATAGCACAAAAAATACCTACTGACCTTGAGCAGCAATTGCTCGATTTTCAACAATATGTAATTCGGTTATGCCTTAAGAGAGACTACCCCCTGAGCAATATCGCAAATATGAACGTGACTTCCATCTGGTTTGACATGGCTGGTGATCAACTGTTAAACAAATTGGTGTCAAAACAGTCTATATATGTATAACAGATAATGAGAAGAATCGCTTTACTGTAGTTTTGACGTGCTTTGCTGATAGACAAAAGCTCCCACCCACAGTTATATTCAAGGGCCAAAGGTGGGCTAAGACTAAGGCTTCTCCTCCTCCCAGTGTAATTATTTTTTTTCATGAAAAAGGTTAGATGGATGAACCTGGTGTGTTATCATGGGCTGATAATTATATAGCAGATTATTCAGGTGGTCAGGAAAATGAACCCTCTCTTCTTGTCTTTGATTCATTTAGAGCACATATTACTGATGCAGTTAAAAAGAAGCTTCAAGAGAATAACAATAACCTTGTTGTAATTCCTGGTAGGTTAACTTCTGTATGCCAACTGCTTGATGTTTTAATCAACTGCCCTTCAAAGTAGCACTTTGTAACCACTAACATAAATGGATGACAAATGGTAGATCTGGCAAAACTAAATAAAGAAACCTTAAACTACATATAGTTTGTGAGTGGGTACTTGCTGCATGGGCAGAAATTAATCCTAAGATTATTCGCCATGTCTTTCACAAATGCTCTATTTCTAATGCTATGGTGAATCAGAGGATAGTGAGATATATTATAATGAAATTCTTGATAATACTAATGAAGCTTATGAAAATAATCCTGATATAGATTCTGATGATTCAGGTGAAAATGAGGAAGATTTTGAGTATAAAGAAAATCATGATGCAACAATTGAAGAAAATGAGGATGTTCTTCTTTTTACAATAGATTAATATAGAATATATGATTCAAAGATTTACAGTCGTTTAATAAAGTTTAACAATCATGCTTTATTGCAAAATATTATAAGTTTGTGAATATGATCTTGTAATATAAAGTAAGCATAGAAATAAATTATGATCCACTAATCAGAATATTGATTTTTATACTACTCAATTCTTCGTAACAAGAAGAATTGAGTGGTAAAAAAATTGCTATTATGATCACTATATGATGTAATATTTGTACTATAAAAATATTTTATTTAACATCACTTTCAGAAAAATGTGCATTCTGTGTATGAATTAATAACTTATACTGGTTTATCACATTTTACAAAAGTTTTTGTATACAAAACTTATATAAATCAGTGAAATCCTATTTCTAGTCTAAAGGCATATTGATATATTAGGCGAAATAAATGTTTAAATTGTTATCTAATTGGGAATTGTTTAAATAAAGTCATGATCTATACATTAAGTTGTCCATTAATAGTATCTTTGATGGTCCGGTTCAAATAAATTCTTGATCGTGCTAAAAAAAAAAGCATTTTTATTGGTTCTGAACCAAAATTCTAGGTTCGGATAATTTGTATAAAGGTACTCGAAATCGGGAGTAGCTTATATTTGGTAACTAACAATTTATTTTATTTTTTTCATTTTTTGCACTCAAAAGTGGGGGGTAGCTTTTATTCGTGGGTAGCTTCTATTCGGTAATATACAGTAATTAAATTTTTTACAGGAAATGTACATATTTAAAATCAATAATTACCTAATTGCAGGGGCAGGAGCCAGGCATTAACCCAAATATTGTAGACTATATAAAAGCTTTTCACTCCGCTCCCCTCTGCTCCAGCCCAATAAGACTACATGCTGATGCGAATAACCCTTTCAAAGCAACTTTGCTAGCAAATAATCAAAAAAATTTAGAAGACATATCATTTCGAAAAATAGCCAAACACTTATGTGTCAGCAAATCTTCAAGTTGGGTTCTTGAATGCTTTCGAAGATATGGATTCATTAAAAAAACTTTGTAACACATTTTCGATAAATATTAGTAAATCACAATTTTTGGAATCATGAGTCATATTTTTAAACTAGTTATTAACTTCTTGTCCACACCTAACTTTTTTTAATATCAGCATCCACTCACGTTTAATATGTTTATTATAAAACTATTGATAAAAACAACCTTTCTATAGATGTTCGCACAAACTAGACACACCAAACTTTCAAACAAAATTTTAATAACGTTGAACGTGTTGAGATTTATAACAAGTATTACATGTAATATATGTCTTTTTAAAGTTTGGGTAAGTTTTTGAAATCAAAATTACACATACTTTTTGTTATATGAATACCATTGGCCAAAACTTTCGTAGAGCTGCGATTATAAAATTAATTTTATTCATATAATAAAATTCATATCAAAAAATAATAATATTTATGAATTACTTATTAGATAATAGATTTCTTTTTTCGTGACTTTTATTTGATTCATTGTTGACATTGATGTAATATTATATTCTGTTTAAAACAAGCTTGTCATAGAGAACTTGTATTGTTCAAGGAAATTACTTCAAAAGAAGGATAATCTGATGTTTCTAGCAACTCAAGTTCGCTAGCAGAATACCAATATTCAAGTACTCCAAATTGACAACTAACTTGGTAGAAATCACAACTGGGCATTTTTTGCAGAACTTTGCAAGGTAAAGATCACTGACCCATTTTTTGTCTGTCATGTCGGGAATGCAAATTTTTAAAAATTTGACAGGCTCAAATACTGAATCATATCAATAGTATTAATCTATGAATAGGTTACTTTATTAATATAATTACCCATGAAACAAATCTTCAGAAGTATTTACACATGGCTTAAAAACTTTCAGCAACAATTTGATGAATAGAAGGAATTTTAATAAAGGCTGTCTGGTAATACATTCACGAATTGTATCGGCAGCCACTTTTTGCGAAATATAATGATATCGCATACGAATCTTTAAAGTTTTATAAAAAAAAAAAAAAACAATTTTTTCTAAGACCGGAAAGATCTGCTTGCATAAATGAAGTTCCTCAGTCGTACCAACAAAAAGGATTTTAAAAGTGTGAGTGACCCAGTATTTGAAAGTTGGGTTGTGTAAACTATTTTAATTTTTCAATACACTCAAGCACTTATAATAACGATCCCTATACATTAAACAATGTTTATTTTTCCTTTGAATAACAAATGTTTTTAGAATACAGTCAAAAGATTCACGGGACAATAAATTATTAATGAAAATATTTGTCAATGACTTGAGATTAATAAAATAAATAACCAGAGTTTAATTTGATCACTTTTTTTCTTATTTAAATCAATATAAGAATACGTAATCAATTAATGGCTAATATAATAAATTTAATGGCTAACATATGGGCGAATTTGACGCATATGATGATCGTTTGAATGTGACAAAATTATGTCATTACTAGCATTATAAAAAAAAATAATAAATTTGGAGTGCAATTCCCTAAATAGGAAATCAAAATCCAAAATAGGAAATCAAAATAAGCCAAACTAAGGTTAAATTCAAGATAATCACAAAATTGATGTGCAAATCGAAAATATCACTAATGGAAATGCGTCAAATCCGCCCATATGAATTGCATTAAAATCGATCTAAATCAATCTTCAATCGGTAAAAATTAAAGTGACGTGATTCGATTAATAATCTGCGAAATTAGTGATTGAAGTAGAACATTTATAAAACATGTGACTATGATCGTAAAGGTCACTTGTACTTCCAAGAAAATCAAAATAAGCATCAAAGGAAGGCTTTCAGTTCAATCCTGGAGCTGTTCATACAATTTTGATTATCTTGATCATTTGTAGATAACTAATTAACGGGAAAAAAATAAATAGTATTATCCAATGCTTTACTATGATCAGCTCATAAAATAAATTGATAATTTTATGCCTATTTTTATATTTTATAGCTACATATTT